TGCAAATGAATGAAACCAAGGATCTTGACTTTATATAAATAACTAAGTTGAAGAAAAACATTTTGCTACATCAGAAGAATCAGAGATATTTGCATTTGTAGCTGCAAGACAAACACACAAGACAGCATGGTCTGCCTTAGTCCCGATCAGATAAAAGCAAACAGAACAGACTGCTAGGCAGATTGGGAGATCTGGGAAATTTGGCTTTTTCTGCAGCCCTTCTTTTGGAAAAGGAGGCCCTCTCTCCACCCACACTGCAGGGATCCCACATTCTGCTTTTAATGAGTCCCTCCCCCAAGACTACACACACACACAGACATACACACGTGCAAACACCCTCTCCACCCCTCAATTCTCTAAAGGGTCAGAGAGCAAGCACTTGTATTTGTGAGAGTTTGGGAGCCTACACATTAATGAAAACTCATTTGCACTTGAATTTGCACTCATTTGTTGCTAGACAAAAAAAAGGTAGGCATCCCCTTTGTATCAACTCTGGCATCACTAAGTTGCATGAGAGATAACTTAGAGACAGATCAGTATGTGAAGTAGTAGTTCACTTACTCAGCTGGTCAGTGTTGGTGTTTGGGGAAATTCAGGAAGGGAGGCTGTACTGGAGATGGCTAGGTCACCCAGAGCCATAGAAGCCTCTTTCTGCTTGCTGAGAAGAGCAGATAGGTCTGGCTTCTTTCACAAACTCGTCTATTTTCCTCCTCCTCATGCCCCTTCCTGGATGGACTTAGATGAGCACCTCAGCTTTCATCCCAACCTCCTGATCCTCCTTACCATAATACAGGCCTGACTAGTCCTTCTTTCCCAAGACTCTTCGATGTTGATTTGGCATCCTCATTGCTTTTCTATCAGTCCAGCACATAAATTTTTAATACCGGTATCAAAGCATCTTTAGGTGTCCTCTGGTCTTTTGCCACTGGTTGTGAGGGTTCAGTTACAGAAATGCTCCCCTGGACTCCCCCACCTCTTCAACCACAAGAGTAGGAAGGCATAGTGCAGCCGGTTTACAGACTGCTAATTGCCACTGCATATGCCACAGGGTCACTAAGTAAGGTTGCGCAGGTCGTACACTATACAAGAGTCTCTATACAAGGCTAAGTGGGGGCAGAAATCCAGCTCATACTCCATCTGCCCAGAAGTACACCCTAAGGGATTTCTAAATGTTTTCCAGATTTGTAAAAAGAAAAAAAAAAAAAAAACACAAAACTTGCTTTATGAGCTGGCATTATCTTCATTCTCCTCCTAGCCTACCTTCCACATTGTTAAATCAGTAAATGTGAGGTGGGGGACTGGGTATAAGAGCCTTAAAATATTCTCATGCGACAGTGATCTTAGCCAGCTTTAAGAACCAGGATGGGGACTGCACATGTTCCCAGATGGCTGGAATGAAATCTTGATTGGCCGTGATACTCAGTGAAAAGGGGGGAAGTCAGCATGTTTCTACTTTTGTTTTTTTTTGTTTTTTTTTAATACTTTACAAAGCATATCACTCCACTACTATGGAAATACACACACACACACACACACACACACACACACACACCCCTGGTTATACTTCATTCACAACTGGAACTATATATAATAATTTTGAAAGGCACTTTCATTATATAATTGTGTGTGTATGTGTGCGTGTGTGTTTGCATGTGTTGTAGCAGAGGCATGAGAGAAGCAGCCCAGGACACAACCTATATTCTAGGTGATGTTTCATTTTCATCACCCCCCCTTTTTTTTTTCACTGCAATCTGTCTTTTGTTGATAAATTTGTCTGCAGTTTTAAAATATCAATAAATTAATATTTTAAATAACCACATACAATGAAAGCATATACCTTTCCTTTTGAAAAACAGTATATTTCTTTTGAAAATAGTATCTAGGAAGCAAAGTAAAATGCAACATTTGTTTTAGTTAATCTGTACGGTATATTTTAAAGATTTACTTTTGACTAGGTAAAATGGGACTACCAATTAGAGTAGAAATAACAGAGTTTGCCTTCTTGTTAGTGAAGACAGTTAAACACTAGAAAAGAGAGGAAGTTGTCAGGAGTGGCACATGAATGACATGAAAGAAAGCAAGTCGATTTCCTGGTATTATCAGGTTAACATATGACTTCCTCAATTTCGGTGTGTCGATTTCTACGTAAAGATTGATAAAGCTCTCTGGATCTTTATCTCAGGCTCCAAACCAGAGGCTTACTCTGCCTCTTCCCATAATAGGTCCTCAGTGACCAGGCCTTGGTGCTGCTCTGTATCTTCCTGCTGATTTGGTTAAAGGAAGATCCCAGGACTTTGTGTTATAGTCCATGAATTTCTCAGAAAAACCTCAGTGTTACCTGCAAATGACTACTCTATCCAGCAACACTTAACACAATTTCAGAAATCTCAGCAACAGGGAGGAAAAGACAAGAATAACTTGGTACCCAGGGCTTATATTATTTATTTGCCCCCAATCTACTAGTAAATGAAAAGCAAAAATTCCCTCACATTGAGAAAGGCCCTTATGAGGTACTTACTCAAAACAAGCTTTCCTTTTAGAAAAACAGACCAATTCTTCATCCAATTATAGGGTGTTCTTTGGGACTTTAGTAACTTTCTTTTCCTCTACGTATGTTTTCTTATACCAAGTGTGTTCTGTGGGAGATGACTGCTCTAAAAAAACAGTTCACAGCAGCCTCAGATGCCTACAGACCATCAGCTCACACAGAAGACCCAGAGAAATAAGATGCTGGAGTCATGAAGCAAAGACATGAGGGCAACAAGCTACAGAGCAACATGAAGTAGCAAAACTCCTTCCCTTTGTAGAACCACAGATGGACAGAGGATTACAAGATATGTTGTGTGACAAAGCCATTGCATTCCCACAAGAGCTCCATAGGTCCAAGGCCAGATGGGATAATTTGTCTTTACCCCATGACCCAGACTGTGGAATGCAACTAACACATTTTCTAGCTGGCTCCAGGCCAAATCATATCTCCTGCTTTTCTTATGTATACTAGACTGTGTTTTCAAGGGCTGGTTCTAAATCATCCAAGCAGGTGGATGCTTGAACAATGACTGGTACACTCAGGAACACCTCACATTTCCTCGATATTCATAAGACAAAATGATTTGGTGGAATATGGTTCAAACAAATGTGGCTTCTCTTATTAGGAAAGGGCTAAATTTTCCAGGGAGTTGAAAATGCTATTTCACTTCACTGTGGTCTCTGAGTACGTAGTATTGGTCACTCCATTTGAGACCTTCAAAAACCCTAGTGAAGTAACTAAGAGTCAAAGAGAAACATGGAAATGTTAATATATTGTGAAGTGAGTGATCCCAACTTTTGCAAGTCAAAGAAGGAACTAGACTCCAAGGGGGTCCTTGGAGTCTGTGGAAAAGTTTTTGTTTTGAAAAAAAAAAAAATAGTTTTTGTTATGAGCAAGTACCTCATAAGGATCTTTCTCAATATGAAGGAATTTTTGCTTTTCATTTACTACTGGATTTGGGGGCAAATAAATAACATAAGCCCATTGAAAAAAATAGTTTTTTATACTAGTCTTGACCTGTCTTTTAAGATAGTTCTTAGATACTATAAATCAAGTACATGACAATTTGAGCTCACCAAAGAAGCTCTCAAATTAAAAACAAAACAAAACAAACCTTATAGTCACTACCAAAGAATTTATTCATGACATTTTATGTTCAAGGATCTAAAAACTTACTATTCTAAATAGGCAAAATTCCACACATTGATCTACAGATTTCATACTCATTTTTTACGAGAATTGACAAGCAGATCATAAAAGTCCAGAAATAAATGCTCTCAAATTTATTTTTAATTGACTTTGATAAAGCTGTTAAAAAACAACAATGGAGGAAAGAATGGTGTTCTCAAAAAATGGTGGTAGGACAATTGGATATTGACCAGCAAAAGAATGAAGTTGGACACTTACTTCAGGGCCTATATAAAAAACAAACTTCAAAGGGACCACAGACATAAATGTAAAAGCCAAAACTATAAAAATTCTTCAAAGAATACAGAGGCAGAAATCTTTGTGAACTTGGGTTAGAAAATGGTTTCCTAGATTTGACACTAACAGCACCAGCAACAAATGAAAAAATAACACAACAGAACTTCATCATCAAAATAAACCATTTTGCAATTAAGGACACCATGAAGAAAATGAAAAACTGATTCACAGAATGAGAGAAGTTATTTGCAAATCATATCTCTGATAAGGGTCACATAATCTAGAAAACATAAAAAACTTATAACTCAATAATAAAAAATGATCCAATTAAAAATAAGCACAGTATCTGATAGACATTTCTATAAAGAAGATACACAGATAGCCAATAAATACATGAAAAGATGCTCAACATCATTATTTACTAAGGAAATGGAAATAAAAACACAAAGCAATAACATTTCTTCTTCTAAGAAATGTTAGTTTGATAAAATCCCTAGCAGACGCCATGAAACCCTATCAATAAGGAGAAACTTCCAGCTGTGGTTAGAAAATTGGTAATCATATTATGAATTTTTATGAACACTATTATGAGAAAAAGGAAGTTTAAAAACCTTTATGATGAGTAATAAAAATTTTAATGTGTATATTAACCATATTAACATTTAATATTTGCCTCACTATAGTAAACATAGTCATATTCATAAAGGTTTATTTCAATAACTTTTTCAATCCCTCAGAAGTACCACAGAGGTCTAGCTAATTTTTCACAGCAATTTACATTTTTGCCCTCTTGTCTATCTGAATTCTGACAGGTGGACCTTACACAAAGGTTCAAGAAAACTACTAAGCAAATCAACAAAAAAGTTACCCTTGGATCACAAATTCTAGCAGTACTACTTATTGGGTAAAAATGAGCCATCTTACTGGAGACTTTACTGTTATTTTCATTTTTTTCTGCCAGTTGACCTGTTGCATGTTTCTCTGAAATAGCAAGGAATAGTACTGGGTGTGTTTTCCATTTCATTTGTTGGTCCTAGGCTCTCACCTGACCATCCGGGGAGACAGCGACAATGGCCCGTGGTGGGGTGGCAGCCATCTGCATGGCTGCAGTCACAGCGCTCGGCACAGCTGAGTCCATATGTACCATCCTGCATGGAAGACAACAATGAGTGGGAAATCCTGGGATGGGAGACAAAGAGCCACAGCTAGCCATTTCAGACACAGTTGCTTCCTATAAACACTGCTCAGAAATTCATGTGCTATAATCACTTCTGTCTGTGTCTGCTTGGCCCCCCAATTGTAGGTTCCAGGAGGTCAGTGTTTTAAAATTGCTCAAAACTTAGTAATGTCTAACACAATGGTCAGCACATGTAAATGGTGAAGCCAATATGCTGATATGCTTATATGCAAATATATGTAAAAAGGCCCATTAGTGAAAAGAATCTTTTTCTTATTGTAAGCCACAACTCATAAAAAATTACTTTGTTGGATCTTGGGGCCATCTTTCCATTTTTTTGCAGCCATCACCACTCTCTAAATGCCAGCGCTTCTCCAGCCAATGGAGAAGAGAGGTGAGAGATCTCTGTAACATGCGTTGTGCAAAACGGACATACTGCAAATCCACTGGTGGTAAAGACTGAGGAAGCAGCTGGCTACAAAGCTACTCACTAGAGTGTGCCCTCTACTGGAAGGGTAAAGAAACCTTATTTGTATAAGCCCTGTACTTTGGCACTCAGTGAAATTACTTTATCAGAACTCCACTGAACTTCTGATTCACAAACTTCCCTTCCAGTTCAGGACTTCAAAAAGATCTGCGCTTTCTGAGCACAGCTATTGGTGCTTTGCAGGAAGCAAGGAGCCCTATCTGACTGTCCTTTCTGAAGACACCAACCTGTGTGCTAGCCATGTCAAATGTCTAATAATTATGCCTAATATGGTGTAATTAACCTGCCACATGTGTGGAGAATGTGCTTAAGAATCTACTATGATGATGGGCCTCCCCTGGTGGCGCAGCGGTTGAATGCTGGGCTGCGAGGCTGCCCGCAGCCTCTGCAGCACCGGTTCGATCCCCCGCCACCAGTTTGAGTCCCACATGGCACGCAGACCTCTCCTGCTGTGCCTGCTGCCCCCCTCAGCAATGTATTTCGTCTGTTTGCCTGTTCTGTTCCCTGCTCTAGCTCTGGTGAATTCTCTCACCCTTCCTTCTTCTGACTGTACCCAGTGCTTGTATAAATAAATAAATAAATAAATAAATAAATAAATAAATAAATAAATAAATAAATCTTAAAAAAAAAAAAAATCTACTATGATGGAAAATATTTTATTCTCAAAAAAAAACCTTTTTCTCTACTTCCTATGACTGGTAATTCTGAATGTTAGTTTTTTGTCCCATTGGAAAAATAAGGGACAGCAATCAGGTATTGGTAGTTTCCATCTGCATTTCATACCACCAACCACGAACAACATGTCAATCATCAGAGGGACGGACCTGAGGACTACAATAAAACAGGTAGTGGATGGTTAATGGCATTGTCATTTGTCTAGGACTTTTTAGAATTAAAAACAATTTTTTAGGCCCCATTGATTTTTGGCAGGGCTGCATGGAATTACTTTGCCATAATATGAGCCACTAAACCACCAACTTTTATTATGGCTTTTAATATATAAAACAGGACCAGATTGCACCAGGGGCTTTGCCTTGTCCACAATCAGATTGGGAGTGAAAGGTGACCTTTAAGCCCCTCTCAGAGCTCTGATAATTTGTTCACTGGGGCATGAGGAGCAGCATAGCTAACTTAACTTTGTTCTGCAGGGTTGGAAAGTGACCCAGGGTAGGAGCTTCTCTGTGTTGGGAAATGGGTTGTACTTAATAAAAAGAAAACCCAGGAACAAAATGTCTCCATGGGGGGTTGTTCTTAAGGGGTCCAGGTCAGGGGTCAGTCAGACTGTATCACCCCGTTGAATGGTCTCCCTGAGGCAGAGAAGGCACACCACTGAGACAATGCTTAATGGCTCAGGAGAAAGGATGGTGATAAGAAGAAAGAGTGATGGGAAAGAGGGAAAGAAATAGGCCAGTTGCTAGTTGCTTCAGGTAGATTACTACAGAATGCACCTCCCAACTTGCCCTCTATCAGCGTGTGGTGGACACAGGCTGGGATTTCTAATGCTGTGTATCTTCCAAGCAGTTCAAGGAAGCGGAGTCAGCACTGAACTAGGGAAATGTTTGGAGATTCTTGTGACCTCAGAGATATTTATGTTAAAAGATGGCTGCTTCCAGACCTTACTTCACCACCTCCATCAGCATTCTGTGACACCAGTCACACCCCTTTCAATTCCTGCCACTTTCCACCCTAAAGCCTGAGGGATTTCCATTATAATGGAAACACAATACCTAGAGAGTTGACAGGCTTATTTATACAGGATGTTTGACAAATGCTGTTGACTGGCTGCCACGAATAGATGGGTGTGTAAGAACAGAGAAAAGAGGGGAGCTGTGGGGAAACGAAATAGAGATGGAAGAAAAGAAGAAAGTCTTTCTCACAAAGCTGCCTAACCAATTTCCATGTTTGTCCCTTTTTGAAACCTATATTCAATCTGAGTTTAAACACCTCAATTCTTTGAATAGTCACTACGGTTTGGTTCATACCAAGTCAAGAAAAGTTCTTTAAGTCAAGAAAAGTGCAGAAGTAAGCTAAGCCTTGGACACCAGCTTCTCCCAGACCTTCCCAGCTGGGGCACTGGCGTACCTGGCAGGGAAGTTCACATTTCTCCCCACGCCATCCAGGTGCACATGTGCAGGTCCCATCCAGGGTGTTGCAGGCTCCCCCGTTGAGGCACTGGCAGGTTAAGTTACAGCTGAAGCCCCAGGTGCCACTGGGACAGCTGATGGAGCAGTCCCCCCGTGCCAGCCTGCAGTGACAAGAACGCCAGAGCACATGAGGAAACAGACAGCAGGGAGTTTGCCCAGCCTTTCCAAACCACATTTCCCTTTGGAAACATCCTGGAGATGCACAGCAGTGCCCCAAGCCCCAGCACAGAGAGCGCTGGTTCTGCCATGTAAATAAAGCCTCCATCAGAAGTGAACAAAAGCCCCTAGTAGCCATGTGTGCTGTGTGATCTTTCAAGAACAGAGAGAAGCACTTCTAGGCTACTGGGGGGAGAGAGATGTAGTGGGAGCACCTTTGATACAAAGTGACATGCACCATGGAATGCTGACTTTAGTTCTGGTCAGAAAAGTGGAACATTCTTTGGGAGGGAGAGAAGGTTTATATTGAAAGAGGAACCCTGTCTTGACAGCATGATCCCCTTAACCATGAACAGTGAGTATTCAAGATTCTAGCTGTGGCACCAACTATTGACAGACACATGACATCAGTGCTTGGCTATATTTCTTGTCACTATTTCGGGTTAGTCAATTTAGGAGCCTGGACACATGTCATCTTGCCTATTCTGCCCCAAAGAGACTTATAGACTTTAGACCTGGGGACAATGCCACAGACTAGAGCATCCTATGTGATCTTCTTCCCATGACTTATGAAATCAAGAGAGCCCACCCTGGAGAAGGGGCTGGCTGAGTTCAGGCCCCCAAGTTTGGTGCAGCTGGAGCTACAACCCCGGAAAATTTTTCTTTCCTCTGCCTTTAGAAAACACAGGTCAAGGGGTAGATAGAAGACTCATTCACCCACTTACCTGCCTTGCAAGTACAAGACCCATCCACAGGAGAACAGAGAGCATCGTTTTTGCAGCCACAGAGAGAGGAACAGTTTATCCCATAGCTTCCCAGAGGGCATGGGGTAGAGCAATCAATTCCCTAGACAGGCACAAATAGAAAAAGGCATGCAATTTTACCAATTGAAACAAGGTCAATGCAAATAAACAAAAATATATCTTGGAGATGCTAATTTATTCCCTTTCTAATTTTAACACATTGTATTTTTTGAAAGTAGCTATACCGTCACCACTACACAATTTTTTGAGATTTAAGTGTAACGCTAGCTGGCCTATGATTAGGATAAAAGATTAAATGGGATCCAAAAAATTCTGCTGCCTTCATTAGTTTTCTTTCCTAGCAAAAACAAAATTTGTCCTTGCTCAGACAACTAGATATATAACAATAAACTGTAGCTGTAAAATTACTGTCAATAAATAAAGATAAATATGAACTATATATTACATTGCAATGCATTCTAGACAACCTGGTATAATATGTAATATGATTAGTGGGTAAAGCAATACAACAGAATACACACACTCAATCAGTAGCCTGATTCAATTTATTATCTGACAGTGAGCGTTAAACTTAGAAGTAGGTTAAGCGTAAGCTAAACGGTATAATCACATGGATCTATGCTAGCAGTGTAGCCTGAATTCTAGCAGACTGTACCAGTGCATGTAGTCTCCTATAGAAGTAGGTTACCAACGGTGACTGGAAACGTCCAGTCATGGATGGAGGGCATCTTTAAAAACAGAAGTTCCTAAGACAAGGTGAATTCAAGAGCTCAACCAAAGAATTGTGACATGGATTAGAAAACCCTATAGAGTGCTGAGACTCTATAATCCACTTGTTCCACATTATTCTATCTGGAATAATCACTAGTATTCTTCATGGTTTAGTGTTTTCTTCTATAAAAATGGGAGAAATCAATTCAAGAACCACCCATTTTCCTTTAAAACAAAGATTCCTACCTAGGAAATGCTACAAACTGGGCAAAATTCTGCTCTACTAGTTTATAGACATATTTGTGAGGTCCAGATTCTCAAGGAAACCAAAAACTTTTTCAAAACTATTAACCATTGAATAGAAATGTATAATGTATGCTAACTTGATATATGTCATCAAGTTGCATGAGACTGAAACAAAAGTTGTTTACAATAATACATATCCAACTTGGAAAGCAATGTATTTGTTGGCTATAAAACACAGCAGAACAATCATGAAAGGAATAATTGAAATACCTCATACTTCATGATATATATTAATTGGATAACTAAATATTAGTGCCACACTTGTAGTTTTACCAGCTTTCCCAGTCATTCTAAGGTTTAACTTATATGTTCCATGGCTACTTTTTTCTTATTGCTTTTCTTATTAATGATGTGAGTGATTTTAGCACACTCCTTGTACTTCAAAAAAGGTCCTATAAATCATGGTATCAATATGCTCCACAGTGTACCCCTTGTCTCCTTCCAGGTCACTCACTTTGAATCCTGGGGCACAGGTGCACTTTCCAGTCCCACTGTCACAATCAGCCCCATTCTGGCAGCTGCATATCTGTTGGCAAGCTTCCCCGTAGAATCCAGGAGAACATGTCTCATTACAGTAGAGTCCCGACCAGCCCGGTCTGCAGGCACACTCTCCAGACATGGGGTGACAGCTGAGAGACATGGATGAAAGAAACAAATCACTCTTGGGTAAACGTGACACCCAAGGCCCGTACAAATGTTTATTTAGCCATGATCACTGAATGTGCGATAATTCCATGCACAATAATTTAAACTTCATTTCCAGGGTTGGTATGATTTAATTAATGGAATGAAACTTGACTGGTACTACAGGAGTGTTGCATGTAATCAGCATCATCCTCTAACAGGATGACTATCACAACCTTGTGCTTTTGTCCAAAAGTACATTTTTTTTTTTTGTAAATCAAAAGTATTAATTCAATAAGTAGTCAACTTAATGAAAAGGTCTAAAGAATGTCATCCAATGAACAATACAAATCAGTTAATCAGGGCCTCCCCTGGTGGCACAGGTGGTTAAGCGCAGTGCTAAGAAACTGTCCGCAGCCTCTGCAGCGCCAGTTCGATTCCCAGCCACCGGCAAGGGTCCCACATGGCAAGACAGACCTCTCCTGCCTCACCCGCTGCTCCCTCAGCAGGGTATTTCGTCAGTCTGACTGTTCTGTTCCCCGCTCTGTCTCTGGTGAATCCTCTCACCATCCCGCATCTGGCCTGTACCCCGATTCTTGTATGCATAAATAAATCTTAAAAAAAAAATCACTTAATCAGGGATGTCTAAGGAACTCTAAATGCAGAGACCTTGCTTCTTCTCTTGGCCTCATGTACCTGGCAGAGGAACAGCTGCCTCTACCTGAAAGAGCTGCCACCTTGGCAGGTCAAGCAGCCAGCTGTCACTCCACAGCAAATGGACATATCAGCTGTGCGAAGATGCATGTGTTAGTGAGGCTGACACAATAGGACACCCTGTGGCACTCAAAACACATGTGCTCCTCACTACAGAGAAAATCAACAATCAAACTAATTCTGCACACAATTGGAAGACTGTTTAATCTTCCCCACTGATGGAGATAAAATCCTCCCTTAAACAAGGACCAAGAACAAAATCACTGTTGCAACTAGGTATTTGCTAAGTGATGTCTCAGAGGACTGTTCATAAATTTATCACTCTTGGAAATGGTTATATATTGGGAAGGATGAAGACTGAGGATGAAATTCTAGTTTTTCTGCTACCTGGGTAATCTTAGCAAAAGCACATAATTTTCTTGGACCTAACATTCTAGTCTGCACAGTGATGCCTTCAACCCATACCCTAAAATCCCATTTCCTATCTTTTTTTTTTTTTTTTGCAGAAAAACAACCTATGAGTTGGACAGTTTTCTTTCTTATTTTCAGAAATTTATTTAAATACACTCTGAGGTCCCTGCAGCAACTAAGTGCTCACAAAGGGTAGGCATCTGTCACAAGCATTGCTCAGAAAACATGGTATGAAGAGATATACTAATAGAAGTCTACATTTAAAATAATTTCTTGCACTGAGAATCTGTCTGGATTCAAAAAAGGGAATCTTGAATCTCACATCTACTTGAATCTGTTCAGATCTACCTATTTTTAGGTGAATCACTTATGCTTAAACAAACATCTGGCATCTCTGTGCTGTGTTTTGATGTATCACAAACAGAGCCATACCCTTTCTTCCCTTTCTTCACTCCTCATTCACTGTCTGCTCCCAATTGTCTCAAATGGTACCACCACTTACTTGGTTGTTCAAACTGGAAATCAAATAGTTATTCCTCCTCTCTCATCTCCTATATGCATTCAATCACTAGGACTTAACCAGTCTAAGTCCACAACATTTCTTGAATCCATCCACATCTCTTCATTGTCACTGGTAACATTCTAGTCTGAGCCAAACTCCTGAACAGACTTCAACTTTTCTCCCTGCATATACTCATGCTTCATCAACTAAAAAGTCATATCATTCTCTGTAAAAGGTCATATCATATCATTCTCTGTAAAACTCTTCAAAGGCTTCCACCTGCATTTAGAATAAAATCCATACTACTAAATATAGTTACTGATTATAGAATTGTCTAAACCAGTACATTTTTAAGAATGAAGGGAGAGTTACTAATAACTATATTATTAAGACAAAGGCCTAAACCAGATGCTTTTTGAGGACACCAGAAATATGACCACCCTATATATATATATATATATATATCCACAGGCCTTCATTATCTGGCTACTGCCTACTGTCCAATCTCTTTTTTCATCATTATTATCTCTTTATTATTATTCTCAACATTGAATTTCTTTCAGTTTCTACAAGTATTGAGTTTTTTTAAAGATTTATTTATTCTTTCATACAAGAACCAGGGTACAGGCCAGATGTGTGGAAGGGTGAGAGGATTCACCAGAGACAGAACAGGGAACAGAACAGGCAGACTGACTGAAAGACACTGCTGAGGGGGGCAGCGGGGGAGACAGGATATGTCTGCCTGCCATATGGGTATCTCCCCGGCTGGCTGGGATCAATCATGCTGCAGAGGTTGCAGACAGGTTCACAGTGCAGCATTCAACCACCTGTGCCACCAGGGAGGCCCCCAAGTATTGAGATTTTTCAACCTAAAGACTTCTGATGCTTTTCCCACATAACTAGAATGCTATTGCCCATTCTGCCTACCTCTCCATCTTATCCTTTCAGTTCAGTTAAATAGCTCTTTCTTAGAGGATTTTTCACATTACTTACGTTTACATTAGGTTGATAATTTTTTAAGATTTATTTTATTTATAAAAGAACCGGGGTACAGGCCAGATGCGTGGGAGGGTGAGAGGATTCACCAGAGACAGAGCGGGGATCAGAACAGGCAGAATGACTGAAATACACTGCTGAGGGAGCAGCGGGTGAGACAGGAGAGGTCTGCTGTGCCATGTGGGTTGCTCCACAGTTGGTGGGGATCAAACTGTCACTGCAGAGGCTGCGGACAGCTTCACAGCACTGTGCTCAACAGCCTGTGCCATCTGGGAAGCCCCATTAGGCCTATTTTCTTATTCTTTTTCATAACACCCTGCTCTTTTCCCTCATCCCACTTATCACTATCTATAAGCTTTCATTTATTTTTATAGTCATTTAATGTCTCCATTCCCTTCTGTACTTCAAGTTTCATAAGGGCAAGAATTAAGTCTGTTTTATTACCTGTCCCTGGCACACTATAGGCCTATAGTTAATACCAGTTGAGTGAATAGTAAAATGTCACATTTGGTTGACCAGGGATCTTGGCTTTCGTCGTACATTAATCTACTCCCACCCCCCAATATCTCAGCAAGCAATATTAAATTACAATCTGTATATCTGCAACACAAAGGCGAAGGCAAGATCTCCCTTAAAATTAGTTCTTAAAATGTCAAAGTCATAGCTTAAAGGGGACTCACAATTATGTATGGACACTTACTTATGTGATGTTTATGATAATATTGTAAGTGGCACTGAATGTGTGCCAACACCATGCTAAGCAATCCACGTGCTTTATTTCACTTAATCCTCACAACCATTCGAGGTGTTAGGTATGATCCCATTTTATAAATGAGGGAACACAGTCTAGAAAGAGCAAGTAATTTATTCAGAATCTGACACAGACAGTGGCAGACTCAAATTTGAATCCAGATTTATTTGTTTTTACACCAAAGAAAAAAGAAACGTTACAGTAGCCTTTGAGGAGGGCTAGATATGAAACAGAATTGCTAAAATTTGGGATGAATACAGATAAAAGGGTCAACAGGACCAATAAAGCCTGTATTGTGCAAAAACAGAACAAATTAAAATTTATTTCAGTAAGTTGCTACATTTGAAAAAAGGAAAAGAAATATTTCAAGTGATGAATTGGTTAAATTAGTGTACCTAACTTACTACAAAAAGGGACAGTAGAAAATACTATTTTTAAAGATTTATTTATTTATGCATACAAGAACTAGGGTACAGGCCAGAGGTGTGGGGGTTGAGAGGATTCACCAGAGACAGAGTAGGGAACTGACCAGGCAGACTGACCGAACTATACTGCTGAGGGGAGCAGCGGATGAGTCAGGAGAGGTCTGCTCCACCACGTGGGTACCTCCCTGGGTGGGGATCAAACTCATGTTGCAATGGCTGCAGATTGCTTCATAGGTTGCGTCTTAACCCCTTGCGCCACCAGTGAGGCCCAGAAAATATAATTTTATATTAAAAAGCAGAAGGTAATATTTTTGGTATAGACATAAATGTTAAACAAAGTAGACAGTTTGGGGATGGAGAATTGAACTAAGCAAGAGGCAGATAGAGAAATTGATATTCAAGGCCCCCCAGTGAGTATTAGTGCAGCACACTGCTTCTCAGATTGATTGACACCAAAATTAGTATTCTGCAATTTGTAATTAGATGTAGGAAGCCAGAGCACTTTGGAGGCATTTGATGGGTTCTCAGGCAGGCAGCTTAATTGGTAATGAGATTTACGTGTTGATGTTAGAGCAGCAGATTCAAAGTTGAAGGGTGATATACTCCTACCTGTTCTCTTTCTAAAGAACAGACTACTTTGTGTATATGAAAGTAGGATTAGACACATTAGGAATATCTCTCGCTCTATACACACATATAACTAGATACAAATATTCTAGTAAATTTTTTAAGAGTTAAATTAGTATAGAGTTCAATACAATATTGATTAAAATAGAATGAGTCATTGAATTCCCTTTTATGTATTTCCTTAGCTGTTATTAATACTCAAACGCAATGACAATTAGGTGGCATTTGCAAATAGGCATACCCTACTTGCTGACAGCTATTAATTGTCCTTGTTAACAAGATCTAATATATTTATCTCATGCAAATCTTACTAAATCCCAAATTTCATTTTCCTGCTCAAAATAATTTTTAGCATAAAAATTCACTTACAGTTGAAATTTCCAGGTCACAATGAATGTCTTTAGGTGCTGTAACTGTGCAATTTTGATTTAAAATAATAACATTACTTATAAATATAATTAAATTCCTCTCAATCTTATGAGAGATGGAAAAATAAGAATAGCTACAAATTCTTTGCAACTCCTCCTATCAGGAGGTGGAGTATATTGAATCTGGACTTGGTTAGTTGACCTGCTTTGCTAAAAGAACAT